GTGTTGGCAGCTAGCATTTGGGGTTAGAGAGGAGAAGCTTTCCTAGTAAGAAGTAGAACATAATAGAATTAAATCCTTCTTTGAAACCATCACTTGTAAGCTTCAAATACTACCTAAAATGAAGCAGTAACACTGTGCAATGCTTGAACCTGTACCTTACTTCTTTATTCCTTTATTTTTCAGCTGTCTGCAGCCCATCTTGTAAAAATGGTGGCCATTGTATGAGAAACAATGTTTGCAGCTGTCCTGATGGATACATTGGCAGAAGGTGTGAAAAAAGTAAGGGTTACACCTAAGTTCTGACAAGACTCAACATGTTGACTTGGAATAATGATGCCAGTTTCATCACATGCACTGAGCAATTTCTCTCTCTCTCTCTCTCTTTTTTTCTCTCTCTCTCTCGCTCTTTTTTATTTTTTATTTTCAGGCATCTGTGACCCAGTGTGCATGAATGGAGGAAGATGTGTGGGACCAAACATTTGTTCTTGTCCATCAGGCTGGAAAGGCAAAAGATGCAACACTCGTATGTATTCCTCTAACATCTCAAAACATTCAAAAAAGGAAACCTGTTGTTAAATTGGGTATATAAAAAGGCATTTGACCAAGCTTCAGCAATAACGAGCATTTAATTTACATTCCACTGTAATTAGAGGGCATCTCTGCACCATTGCTTAATGTGATCCTCAGGGTATTTTTTGCTAAAAGATAGAAGCTGGACTTGCCTTCTGTTCCAGAATAGAATGTGTAGATTTCTATTTTATCAAAGTTCTTAAGTCTGCAGGCTTTAGATGCTCAATTTGATATTTCACTAGCACAGCATGTGCCCATCAGAGCCTTTTCTGAGGAACTGCCACAGTTCTGATACAAACATCCATCTATATATGTACTATGCCACCTAGATTAAAAAACAGCTACATCTACATGAGGTAAGGATATAACGAAGGCATAGTTTCAAGTGCATTTTAAAATGGTGCATATAATATAAGCCTTAGACGGCTAATGGGAGGGTGTGTCATATTGGAGAATTTGGTTAATCCCTTTAAGTATCAGGTACAAATAGCAACTACACAGAGAAAGCATGAGAATTAGCTTTATAGCCCATCCGTTTTCATAGTGTCTATATGTGAAATATCTTAAAAACCACTCTGGAAGTTTTTTAGGTGGTAAAAAGGTATCTTTACTTACAATTGATGTCTATAGTTACAGTCAGTAGAAAAATAGGAATAATCGATGGGAGAGCCCCCCTCTATACTTTCTGAATGCTTGGAGTTCAATAACAGATAGACTGACAAACAAAAGAAGCGAAGCAAACAAACAAACAGGAAGAGGAGAGTGGCAAGTCAGAGGTGGGGAAATAACTTTACCAATAGTTTAATGTGAAAGGAGAATCCCCGTAGGTCTTAAAAGCCCCCTTACCACTGATACCAAATGTCAGAAAGTATACAAGATTGTTATTATCTCAACACATCACCCCAGTTATGAGCCATCTCTGAAGTAAATCTATTTTCCCTGTACTCTGGTAATTGCTTACAGTGATTTTGAGTCCATGGGGATATTTACAGTTCTCTTAATATAGGTCTGTCCATTCTGTGCAGCAATATGTCTTCAGAAGTGCAAGAACCGGGGGGAATGTATTGGGCCAAATACTTGTCATTGCCCTCCAGGATGGGAAGGAGTCCAGTGTCAAACAGGTGAGTCAGGCTCAGCAACAATATTTGCCTTATAGTGGTGACAAAAACCATGTGTTTCCGTGTCTCCAGTTACTGATCCATGATCCATGATAGAAACAGAATTATAAACACAAGTTGAGTGTAATATTATAGTGGCATGAGGGCTCACAAGATGAAAGTGTTGGGGGATTTAATTGACTGATTGATTCGAATAATCCAGGATGGTGGTGTCATCTGTCATCACTTTCAGGTTTTCCTCTTCCCTCTGAGCTTATCTGGCATTCTTAACAATAGCTGGGAGAGTGCTGATGGACAGCAGGAATGGATTATACTGAGCTACCCCTCCTATATCTGTGAAGATTCTCAGTCATCCAGGGGTTGTTATCTGGAAGTTGAGTCATGGCAACTGGACTTCTTTCTAGTTAGATTGAAACCTTTCATTACTCATCCAAGTAGCTTCTTCAGTCTGAGGAGAGTTGGTAGGAGACCCCTGATATATCCTCCATGTTGGTTTCACTTCCCCCAGGTCTGAATAGGCCTGTAAGGTCTGAATAGGCCCATTAGAAGGACAAAGGACTAGGGCTGAGGGATAATCCCACTTCTGCAGTCCTGTTTATCATGCTGCCCTTTCATCCGTCCCCAGAAAGATTAGGGGACACACCAGAAAGACAACTGGGTGGAGAAGGACTGAAGAAGAGGGATTATCCCTCGCCCCCAGTCCTTTGTCTTTCTAACAAGCCTATTCAGACCAGGGAGAAGTGAAATGATGTGGAGGATATATCAGGAAATGATGTGGAGGATATATCCTACCAACACCTCAGTAGCGAAACATTTCAGCCTAACAAGAAAGAAGTCCAGTTGCCATGACTCAGCTTCCAGATACCCCTCTTATATTACAAAGTATCTGGGGATAGCTTGGTCTTAAATGGATCCACTTCTTTCTGATGGGGAGGAAAACAGAGGACGTGGTCTGTTGACATGAATCTGCACAGCTGCCTAAATTTTTGTGTATCCAGAAGATTTTGTAGTACTCAGGGGACTGCCCCTCAATCTCTCCCTTCCCCAGATTGGTAAGGGCTTTGGAGGTTTCTGCCATGGATGTTGCATCACTCTGTTCATTCTTTGCTCCTCAGAAGCCCTTCAGAAAACTGGGATTACACCATTAGGTAAAGGTAAAGGTTCCCCTTGACAATTTTTGTCCAGTTGTGTTCGACTCTAGGGGGCGGTGCTCATCCCCGTTTTCAAGCCATAGAGCCAGCATTTGTCCGAAGACAATCTTCCGTGGTCATATGGCCAGCGCGACTTAGACACGGAATGCTGTTACCTTCCCACCAAAGTGGTCCCTATTTATCTACTCGCATTTGCATGCTTTCGAACCGCTAGGTTGGCGGGAGCTGGGACAAAGTGGCGGGAGCTCACTCCGTCACGTGGATTCGATCTTACGACTGCTGGTCTTCTGACCCTGTAGCACAGTCTTCTGCGGTTTAGCCCGCAGCGCCACCACGTCCCCATTAGTTGCTCTAAAGTTTCTGAGCTATTTGCAAGTAGAAATACAGCCTTCTTTCTTACCTCAAACCCTACCAGGCCATTTCTCTCATTGCTGCTTCTATTCCCACACAGCTTGCTGTGTTTGGAGTATCCCAGTACATGCTTGTGTGCTTAAGAGTTAATGTGGAATAATCAGAGGCTTTTTCTTCTTTGCTAGAGAAGGCTTATTTGGTTTGTCAAATAAAACCCACATGCATTTGTTTGTTTCAGCTGTGTGCAGCCGGAAATGTCTGTATGGCGGAATATGTATATTGCCAAATGTTTGTGCTTGTCGTCCTGGCTATGGTGGAGTCACTTGCAGCAAAAAAAGTCTGGTAATTGTAACACCAATGCTCAGTGCTTAAATAAAATGAAAAGAGGAAGGGGTGGGTGTTAAACTGTGTTCTAATTCACCTGACATTTCCCTTTTGTTTCAAGGTACGTCACACCTGAAGAACAAATCCGAACTCCTTGGATTGCGTAAGCATGCTGCACAGATTACATGGTTCTTAGATGCAGAAAGGTTCTGTTGAGACATCACTTCATAAAGGGCAGAATCCAGCCACTTCCATATACTGCATATGGACCTACTCTAAGCAGGAACATTCCCTTCCTCTCTTCTGTACTTTGCTAGTTCTGATAAGGGAATAGTTTTGCTGCAAGCCATTGATGCTAAACAGAAGCCCTCCTGCTGTTCACCTGTAAGCACCCAGCGGCTTGCTGCTTCTCAGGCCCGTGGCACATACCATTCTTCCAGCAGAAATACAGCAGCACCCTGCTAGGTACCTGGCTGCTGAATAATTATAGGTAATGTCAAGACAAACATAGGTTTTCTATGAATGGTGAGCAGGTTGTCCAAGTGAGCACAGCATTCCAGAGGTGTACAGGAGTATACCAGTGGAAAACAATACAACTGCATTACACTCCTCCATCTCTTACTCTTTGCCTCTAGAAGAAGCTGGAGTGTGCAGTGTTCATCAAAGTCTGATGAGAAGCCTCAGTCTCATTTGGAAACAGATTCATTTTAACAGAACTGGGGCTTGAAATTTAAAGATCTGAAACCTAATACATTGCTTTTCATCTCTGTTTCCCTTGCCACCCTAGTACTAAAAACCATGGCTATTGATTTGTATAATAAATATTTAGATAAGGCGTATGATCCATTTTCTCAGTGCATATTGAGAGGATGGCCAGGGAAGTTTGTTCCATGCCTGTACATGATATTGCTTTCGACTTGACTCTTGTAAGTTGCAAGGTGCCTCTCACAATTCAGTCATAGCATATGATGGTGCCTGCATGGATGGCGTAGGATATGGTCTTCCAGTTGACAAACAGCATGTGGGAATCATCCGAAGTTGAAATTTGAGAACAGTTATGCTTTTACTTATTTGTAACATGCTGGCATCATAAATTTTCAATACTGTGTGAATCAGAACTCTGTATGTGTCAGCTGTGATTCCGCCCCCCCAACCATTTGAAAAAAAATTAATGTACAAAACTATAGTGAGAAGGATGTTGTCTCTCATTCCTGTCAGGGTCCCCTTCTGAGCTTCTGTAAATGCAGAAACCTACAGTATCCTACTGCCTAAACACAGCACGGAAAGGCAATCACATAAGTATCCCCCTATTCCAGCAGGCTATCCATTGCATTATCAGTTCTGTGGCCAATCTTAGTACCAGTAATGGACTTAAGGTGCGAAACATGCTGGAGCAGTAGGATGTCTATTTGTTTGCCCTTCTCCTCTGCATGTAAGCAATAAAATACTGATTACATAGTGAAACATTGGGTGGAAAATGGTGTTCCCTTTATGAACAGTCCTTTTTTATTGCTGGCATGCTCATTGGATTCGATCCAGATGTACCTGTGGTCATGAGGTATTGATTTCAGTGGGAACGAAATGAACTGTAATGATTTTTTTTCTATTTATTTCATTGGGATCCAAGTACACTAACTTGCTTATGGCCCTGCTGGTTTTGTTATATAAAAATTTAGATATATCATGTATTTGCTGTACTATGAACTTATCATTTGGTCCTTGTTGTTCAGAAAGATTGTTTGCTATCTTTCTCTTCTACAATTTGAGCTACTGTTTGCAATCTGTGGTTCCAGGAGCTATATCAACCTTTTTTTCATCATTATTTGGAACAGCAATATAAACGGTCCACTCTACTACCTGAATACGCCCAGTCTCATCTGATTTGGAAACTAATTAGAGTCTGGCTTGGTCAGTACCTGTATGGGTAACTGCCAGATATCTCCTTTGATATATATCAAGGCTTGGGCAGTTGCTTGGTATTCATAGACTTTCCTTTTTAAGCTACCATACACTGATTTCTTATGATTTCAGAAGCTCAGCAGGATTGTGCCTATTTAATATGTAGGTGGAAAACGAGTAGGGAATCCAGGAGATTCTCCAGGTAAGGCCAGGGGACAGTCCTGCATAAAATCCTAAAGATCTGCTGCCCATCAGTAAACAAAGCTGGGCTTGACTAAGCCATGGTTTTACTTAGGATAAGGCACTTTCCCATATTCCTGAAGGAGTTCATATTAATTGTGGCACTACAAACCTCTATCACAAGTCTACTACAAGTCCCTAATTACGGCCAGATTTATAGCCTTTAATTATTGCCAGATGAAGGGAGAGGGAAATTATATGTCGTCTATTTACAGCTGCTTGGAGAGCATGAATTCCCACTAGACTTTACTTATGACAGAATATACTCAACCTCACAGTCCACCATCAAATGAAATATACGGGTGCACAATTCTACCCTGGCCAATTTGTAACATGTTGTCAAAGTCCATATGCCACAATAATCATCTCATTTTCCTGAGTTTCCCCGAATTCTGGCAGATCCTGCAAGTTTTCATAAAACTGTGTGTTCATCAGGAAGTTTGCATTCTAATTTTTTTTTAAAGAGCACGTTATGCATTCTGGAAGTGCATCATACTATCTGTAAGGTGCAAGCAAAGCCAAACTATGGATTACACTCACTACATAGTGTGCAGCTACTGATCCATCTTTTCTTTAATAAATTGGAAGTGCAGGAGGCTAATGGGCAATTTCTCCACCCCAGCTGTATCTGAGGAGTAAAGAGCTAAAGCTCTCTTATTCCATGCTGCAATCAGCTTAACACCTCCAACTCAAATTATTGGGTGAAAAACAGAAGATGTTGCTGCACCTCATATATTGAGTGGGCAGGTGTTTAGGATTCAAAAAATTATTTCAAATCTTCACTGAAAGAAAGAAAGAATAAAGGAAACTGGCATGAGCTTTGTCTGCACATTGAATGTTGAGCAGTAGTTGATGGTACTGAGTCTCTCTCTCACACACACACACACATTTAGACAAATACAGATACTGTATGTACAAATACTTTAAAATATTTGGATACAAATCAAACTGGAGGGGCTACAAACCAGCTCAAAATGAATCTGTTGTATTTTGCAAGTTTAATAATTCAGATGGTATTATCACACCTTGAATATTAAGAATATGTATTATAGCCCAAAAACTTCAAAAAAAACCTGCATTGTTATTTGAACAATTATCATTGTTATTTGAACGATTATTCAAGGTAGCCCAGAGACATTCTTCCTTCCTCGATAGTGATTTTTCCCTTGGAAAATACACTCAATTGTGTCTTAACTCTGGATAGAGATACCCTCGTATCTCAGGCGCTCCTGTATTCTGAATAGGACATGAGGTCTTCATCCTTGCTTGTCTTTCCTTGCTTTCTTAATTATGAAACCGTCAGGCTCAGGGCAGTAGGAAAAAAGAAAAGAAGATATTCAGTTTGAATTCCCTGGCAGGGCTGTTAACAACAGGACTTTTTTCAGGTCATTAATTCATAGGATTGCTCTAAGTCAGTAGCACCTTGATAGTTCATAAGAACAAAAAGAGGAAGCAGAAGATTAAGACTGTCTTGCTTATGTGAAGTGGTAGGGATTATAGGCATGCAAATAAGTCCCACCTCTAGGTATTGCCACTACCTAGAACTGCCTTAGACCTTGGAGCATTAAGAACCCTGATGCAGCAAGGTTTCCAATCACAAGAGCTCAGTAAGCTTGTTCAACTCAACACATTTACAGAATCCTCTGTAGACCTCCTCACACTCACGTACAACAAGGTGGCTTGCAGTGGGATCGCTTGGTAGAGTATTCTTCAAAGGTGAAAGGCCAAGACAATCTACTTTAGTAGGAAGGAACCTGAACTGAAAGAGTTGAAGACCCAGCCGGCAGCCGTGTCCCAGAGTCAAAAGACACAGAGGCAGAACCTGGATGTCCAGAGAGGATCCATCACCTCTAAAGTGATAAAGGAGATTTTGAAGAGGGGTGACCTCTCAGACCGAGGGATGAAGGCTTTAGAAGAAAGCACAGTCAAGTTGAAGTGTGTGACAGCTGGGAAAAGGAAGTAACCACACCACGATCAGATGCATGCCCAGTCAAGACCAAGTTTGGTGAAGCCTGAGTTTAGCCTTCAGCTTTTCTTGTATATGATGCCCAAGTCCTTCTTGTGCAGGGTCCTTGATCCTGAGTTTAGCCTTCAGCTTTTCTTGTATGATTGCCCGATTTATTTCTTTTCAACCTAACCTGGATTGTTGGTGGCATCGCTTCTGCTTCTGGCTGCTCCCTCTTTGGGCTATTAGCTAGCTACATTAGTAATTTATGGACTCAGAATGGCACTAGACTAAGACTGTTCTCTGCATCATCTGCATTTTTCTCGGTGCCCTTTCTTGGCCTTTCCTCAAGGAACCTTGTTCTTTCATTGCAGGCACTTGCTGCCATAAATCAAAGCAAGCAGGGCTTATATGTGGAGGGCTAAATTCACCCTCATCATAAATGCTGTGCTCCACTCATTCAGGCAAACAGCATAGTAGGCTCCACAAGAAGAATTTCAACCATTTTTCTTTATTCCATTTTGTATCATGTACATTACTATTTTAAAAGTTTGTGACTGATACTGAGTACACGTTACAATGCTGAAAATCCCAATAAATTATCCTTCATTAAAGTATTACTCTAAAATGTGTCTGGTTTCCCAGACATACTTTTGTTGTTGTTGTTGTTGTTGTCCTTTACACACCCCATGTTGACATGATTCACATTTATAACTTTCTTTTATCATCTCATTATAAGCAACTTGGCATAATTTTCGTGCAAAAGGAGATAAGGTGACTTTCTTTTGAAAATCTCACTGGAGCAAGTCTGATGCAAGCGTGACATTTTACAAGCTCCAAAGATGAAGGCTGCAGGCTATGCTGCTCTCTTATGAATATAAAGGCACTACAAATGTGCAGCAAAGGCTTGCCTAAGGGGATGTCAGAAATAGAATCAAAGTTAAGTTTTCTTTTTCATTTTTCGGTTCCAGGTTTGCTACAAAAGTTTGAACTAATGTTGAACTTCTTGTCAAGTCTTAAAGCTAAGTGGTTCCATTTGAGTAGGGATTTGTAGGTTTAGATGTGAGGATTCTGGTATCTGTGCCACACTTGGATCTGACAGATCTATGCACAAAGCCCAACACTGCCTTAGGACCACCCTTGTATGACTAACTGCTCTTTTCTCCTGTGCTAAGCAAGAAGCTCATGGAAGATCTGTGGCCATTTCAGTGAATGTGTGCTTAATAGGGTTGAGGCAGATGCTTTCAATGGACTCCTCTCCAGAGTCCAGTGGACCATCCTGCCGTTGGTATTTCTGCCATTATACACGTTTATACCTTCTGGGCTTCAGTTTTTATCCAGTTCCATCTTTCTGCCAGCACAGACTCTATTGCCTTTAGAAATTCCATTTTTATCCTTGGGGAAGTACCAAAAGGCAACATTTTCCCTTTGTGCAAGCCAGCCTGCAAACTATTCCACAAGGTATTTGCATAAACCATTCCAAAATGCATTATAAAATGGAGTTAAATATTGCTTTACTTTTTATTTATGCTAGTAGTTATTCCACTCTGGATGGAAAAAATATCCACTTCGGTTAATTTTTCTGCTAGCCTAATGATATAACCAAGAGTGCAGAACAACCCAGACTGAAAGGAAACATATGTGGAGAAAATACTACTTTTAACTCCTTAATATCCACGTCGGTTAATTTTTCTGCTAACCTTAATGATATAACCAAGAGCGCAGAACAACCCAGACTGAAAGGAAACGTATGTGGAGAAAATACTACTTTTAACTCCTCATTCATATCCTTCCTTGGATGTTCAAAGGCACCAGGTGAACCAACAAGAAGGAACAAGAAGATTAGGACTAGCTATAAGGAAAGGTGGTCGAAACTCCATTTGACGTGTCAGTTGTAACAAGTGGCCTTGTAGGAGATGCTACGATCCGGTCCTTGAGGTCCGAAATAATAATGTAAACCATGTCACTGTTTAGTTTGGTTTTCATAGAAACAACTTGGTAAGATAATGAGAAATGCATAGGAAGATAACTCTGACAGCAAGGAACACAAACTACCATTTGCACCATCACAACTAAAGCCACTTCATGTAATCAGGTTTCATTCTTATCTTCCACTTTAAATTGGTATAGCTATACCTTGCACACAAGATAGACACATTTAGATTTCTAGGTTGCGGCCAGCAGTTTCTAGAAGCAATTCATCCACCCAGGAGAAACCTTAAACACAGAAATGCCGCCTCATGTGCAATGATTTTTTCCATGCTTAGATGAGTAGTTTAACAATCTGGAATTCTGCATATTTTTCTTTTTAAAACAAGAGAAAGAGAACTACCATGTTTGCAATATTGACTCAATCTGGTTTTAGTGCAATTATGTCATGTGTGAAGGCTGCTATGACACAGACCGTGTTAAATCAGCTGCATAACACTACCTTTGTGGGTTGTCTGTCTCTAACATTGCTTTGGCATTGCAACACATCGAATAAGACATTGCAAGAGAACTCAGGCTCAATATGAATGAAACTGAAGGTTTTGGTGGTACCGAGCAATGTGCGTCTAGAAGCAAAAAGTGAATAGCCAGCAGATGGTGCTGAATTCAAACAATGTTTTTCAACAATTGCTAATGGCAGAAGCTTAACTGATTCTTGCAGAAACCTCACAGTCAACTGTAAATGGCAAAGCATCCATGCTTTTAATTAGAGCATTAGATATTAAATGTTTGTCTAGTGCTGTGGCAATTTCAGAATTAGATTTCTAAAGGCTTGCACACTGTAATTACTGCTTCAGTGTTGTTAACTAAACCAGAAGAAAATCCTTGCCTCTCATGATTTCCAGGGTTTTTCTCCCCAGTTAACAATCACTTAAGGACTAGTAGGTAGCCATCAGTCGCGAACAACTGGAGCATAAAAGGGTGCCTTGCCCCACAACTTCAAGGTGACACAACACATTCTCACCTATGATGCCCATATACTACTTCCAGGATCAGAGGCAGCAAAGTCTCCGAATAGTTACTGGAGAACAACAGCACCAAATAATTGCTGCCCTGCTTATGATCTTCATGTATAGGTACAAAGGTAATGAACTAAGTATGGCTGATCCTTTTGCTTGATCCTGCAGGGCTTTCCTTTTTTTGTCCTTGAATATGACACAAATTCCCCATGGCTACTTAAAATAAGAATTCTTATCCCAAACTCAGAATGTCATATATAAGAAAGGGTTGCCCATGGTGAGTAATACAGAAAAATAATCATTGACAGTGGTTCCAGAGAGAGGATGAAGTTGCCTATACTTGTCAGCACTGCAAGCCTGCTGATGCCCATGAAGTCACATAGAATTGGTGGGGACAGAATGGCTGGATATGCATCCAACCTCTGCAACAGGTTTCACAGTGGTAGCATCAAGAATCAAGTATACACACACGCTATGCGGACCACATTGTGTTGGACACAAGACTGCAAGCACAAAATACCCGATGACCCAGCATGTTTTGCACAAGGAATATTTCTCATGCTGAAGCAGAGCTTGGAAATCAAGATTATCTTCATTAAATAATAATTTTTACAAATGCATTCTATTAGTGGCATGGGGAACTGACAGAGCAGGTAGTTTTATTTTTCTTTTTTTGAAAACATGCTTTATTTAATTAAAATGAAGTAAAATGTGCTAAAATGAGCCATCAAATAGCTATCTGTATCCAAATTTCATGCTTACACATACTTTGATGCACTTTTAGCTACTTTGATACTGTCAGGATTATTTAAATGCCTGTTGGTATAGGAGAGCTTTCTTTTAACATACAATTGGATTTTTAAAACAATAATGATTTAATATTGGCATTAGGCAAAAATTCTTCTTTCTCCCAACGCTTATCCATTCAAATAATGCATCTCATCTTCAGTAAAGGATATTTCATTGTTTTATTTTCTTCATACACTGCATGCCAGAGTACGGTGAACGGCATCTGCATACATCTGGAGCAATACATTTGCCTCCATGGTGACAAGGCAGCCTACATAATGCTGGGAGAGAAAAACCAATTACACAGTACATACAGTATACTTGTCAAGATCACAATTACTTCCAAATATCATGAAGACAATGTTTGTCACTGCCCCATGAGAAAACTCTTCTTCTACTTTTTTTTCCCTTCAGGCCCAGGCAGCTGTAAAGGAGAATGCTTGTGAGTAGACGCTTCTTCTAGCCTCTCCCTCAAGAAAAACTCCTCCTCCTGGAGACACCAATTGTCCAAATTCCTGCAGCTGAGATCTTGATGGGACCTCAGCTGCTCAGAGGTATAAGCCTTGGCCTTAGGATCATTAGGGTGAAATCCTGTCACTTAGTGTAGTAAATCACAATTAGAGTAGGCCCATTGAATCAATGGATATGGAGGAGGCGAATCATCATTCCCTACTAATTTAATGGGTCTATTCTAGTTGTGACTTGCTATGCTAAACAAAAGGATTTCTGCCAATGTCTCCCCTGAGCTCCAGATCATGCTGGCTGATGTATTCATTGTTTCCTGCTTTTTGCTGTGACTCCCCCCCCCCATGTATAATCTTGATGTCCCCATTGGAAATCTCCCTGCGTGCATGTGGTTTATAACTAGATTGTTGTTGTTGTTCAGTCGTTTAGTTGTGTCCGACTCTTCGTGACCCCATGGACCAGAGCACACCAGGCCCTCCTGTCTTCCACTGCCTCCCAGAGTTGGGTCAAATTCATGTTGGTAGCTTTGATGACACTGTCCAGCCATCTCGTCCTCTTAGTTAGAGCCTAAATTATCAGGTTTTGAAATCTCCAGCTGGGTTTTTCTTAACTCTGACAACAACTGCCCAGAGTGGCCCTGGCTGCCAGATGGGCGGTATATAAATCAAATTAATAACAACAACAAACAACAAACAACAACAACTCTGTATTTGATTTTGGCTTTGTTTTCTGGATTCTCCTTGCCTGGCTCATCTACTAATGGTACCATTCCTTGGTACTGAGACCCCATCCCTCCAGAAATAGAATAATATCAGTGAAATATACCACAACATTCTTGTCTATCACACATTCTCACAATATGAATTTTATAAACCCCATGCTGTGAGCAACTACTATGAATTTAAAATAATTTGACAGAGAAGCACAACAGCCAGCACTACAAAGTCAGCATTGCATAGAAGAAGCTTATGTGTTTCTCGGCTCAACTGTCTGATTTTAAATTATAGGAGGATACATCTTAAAGAACTTTGTCAGAGCTCTGGTTGCAAAGGTTCTGCTCTTTGTGTTACTGAAAACCTGGTGGTTTATGCCTATCCAGCAACAGTTTCCTCTTTTTGGAAATACATATCTTGTCGAAAAACAACAAAGTTTTAAACTAAACTAATTAATTCATTAACAATTCCATCAGTGTCCCTGAACTTTGCAACAACTTCCTAGTCTTAATCTTTGCAGGTAAGAGAAGCATAAAATAACCTAATCTGCTTGAAACTGTGATTTAGGTGAGGTTTTGCTAAAAGAAAGTAATTATGTAATAATCTGCATTATTTTGTTTGGGCCATTTGTGTTTCTGTGATGCTCTAAATCGAAAGGATTTAGAGGATTTCAAACTATAGTAGCACTCTCGTACCCAGGGGGAACTGGCTTGTTCCAAGCCCCACGATGGATGCTGAAAAAGTGGACTATAGCCAACACTATTTTAATAACAAACACTATTCATGGCATGATCTCTGGCTCTCTCTAGTGTCCAGTTCTGATAACTTAATCTTTAAAAATATATATTTCTAGGATTTTTCTCTTAATATTTTTAATATTTTCAGACAGTGGATAAAGGAATCTGTGGATACTGATTCCATGGATAAGGGTGTCTTACTGTACTTCTATTCCATTCATTATTCATTAAAAATGATTAATCCACAAAAAAAAAATTCAGAGTAACTGTTCAGAGTATTGTTGTTAAGTGCCATCAAGGTGGAACAGACTACAGGGATTTCAAGGTTTGATTTTTAAGGACTGGTTTTACCAGTTCTATTCCCCCAGTGGGCTTCCAAGGCTGAGCAGAGATTCAAACCCAGGCTTCCTGAGTACTACTCCATCACTCAGCCCACTACACCACCCTGGGTATCATACTTAAAGTCACCATATCCTTGTTTTTAAAGAAATAATAATTAAGGTAATATTCCTAATACAGTAGTGCCCCGCATGACGACGATAATCCATTCTTTTAAAATTGCTGCTAAGCGAAATCGTCGTCATGAGGAAAAAAACCCCACTGGAATGCATTGAAAACCGGTTAATGCATTCCAATGGGGAAATACTTCATCGTCCAGTGAAGATCGCCCATAGAAAACCGCTGATCAGCTGTTTAAAATTGCTGTCTTCCAAAGCTTCTGTCCGGAAAACAGCCATTTTGCGAAGGGAGGGAATCCATTTTGCAAAGGGAAGCCATTTTGAGGAGCCGGAAAAATCATCGTTTAGCGAACAAACGGTTCGTGAAGCAAGGACCTAATCAACGTAAAGCGGATTTCCCCCATAGGAACCATCGTTTTGCAATCACAATAGCTATCGCAAAAAAGTCATCATCAAGCAATTTCAACATCATGCGGGATAAGCGACTAGCAGGGCACCACTGTACACGAATTATGTTTATGTTTATATGACACTGTGCAAACATGGGATATGAGATGGAAAATGTAGGTGCAGATAGCACAACATTTCCTTTATAATTCTATCAGAAGTTGAAAATAATGGCCACAGGGTCAAAAGCCCCAGTGTACTTCCTCAATCATTTCCTCCTCAGCTTATCTTTTCTGGAAAGTAAAAAGATGAAGGCTGTAGTGGGGGGGGGATATATTCTTGAACCAAAAGATGCCACTGTCTGGATTCATTGCTAAACTCCAAAAGCAGGCAGCACAGTAAAAAGCTTGCCGTAAGACATCCCCTGCATCAAGTTTTATATTAGAGACTGGATATTCATATTTGTCTCCTGGGGGGACGAATATGAATATCGCCACCACATGTGGCTGGGCCCTTTGGATCCACCCCACAGAACCAGCTGGTCCACTTACTGCTCATAGTGTGGCACATACAGCCATCTTCATTCATGCTGCACCAACTGAGGAAGTCACCCAACCAGGCAATTTCCCCGCCTCCCTGAGCAGCTGACCACTCAGCAGCTCAGCAGGAAGACTCATCATCCTGCCTCCCCGCTGGAGTGATCAGGAGTGCAGGGAAGCAGGGAAGCACCGGTTGGGCTACTTCTGCGATTGGCTAATTCTGCATGTCACTCCGCAAACGATAAGGAGAGCAGCTGGGTCTGTAGGTGGGTCCAAAAGGCCCAGCCACCTGTGGTGGCGATATTTGTAATCCTCTCTCCCAGGAGATGAATACGAGTATCTCATCTCTAGTTTACATAAATCAAAAGGTCTTGGCATAAAGAAATGTAACTCACCTAAATGACATGCCCCACCAACCCATCCAGTGGCACAGCTGCAGATGCCAGGAGCTACACAAGCACCTCCGTTCCGACATCCCTGAGGACAAACAGCTGCAAAAAAGGAAGGGAAGGGAAGGGAGGAAGGACAAGAAAACATATCCTATCGTCATTAAAATTAGCCATATTTGTAATATATATTCAAGCTGATTCCAGCTTATGGCAGCCCTTTTCTGTGTCCTAAATACACAGTCTCCAGAAATAGTTTACTATTCCCTTCTTCTGGAGGTGCTCTGACTGCCTCATTTGTTGAACACCACACAGCATGGTGGTTCTTCTGCAAATTATAGTGAGGAATTAAACTCCTCCTAACCTCTAACTCCATAACCAGGTGCTCTGTCTCACTGAGCTATTCAGCCAGCTCACTCTTTGCTACCTTTGCACAAAACTAACAGACTAACACCTGTTGCTTTAGTTGTCTATTCTCAAATATAGTTACAGTAGGACCCCCATATCTGTAGATTCACTTCTCCGCTGCTTTAAAATAGGTAAAGGTAAAGGTTCCCCTTGACAATTTTTGTCCAGTCGTGTCCGACTCTAGGGGGCGGCGCTCATCCCGCTCTTCAAGCCATAGAGTTGTTGAACACCACACAGCATGGTGGTTCTTCTGCAAATTATAGTGAGGAATTAAACTCCTCCTAACCTCTAACTCCATAACCAGGTGCTCTGTCTCACTGAGCTATTCAGCCAGCTCACTCTTTGCTACCTTTGCACAAAACTAACAGACTAACACCTGTTGCTTTAGTTGTCTATTCTCAAATATAGTTACAGTAGGACCCCCATATCTGCAGATTCACTTCTCTGCCGCTTTAAAATACTAAATTTTTAAAAAACCAGAATGGTGTACTTACCAGAACTGGCCACTAGAGGGAGCCACAAACCATGCTTTATATAGCATTCCCTACTTCCACAATTTTCAGCATCCATGGGCGGATTTGGAACTAATCCCCTGTGGTCCTACTTAACTTAATTATTGTTGGTAGACCATGCTTTGTATAGCATTCCCTACTTCCACAATTTTCAGCATCCATTGGCGGATTTGGAACTAATCCCCTGTGGATACCGTGGTCCTACTTAACTTAATTATTGTTGGTAGATGTTTTGGCCTACAGTTCAAATGCTATAGACTGACTAGCTTTTGTCATGCAGAAAACAAAACGACCTGATAAAGAGGAATATGAGATAATAAGACCTAAAGCCAATCTCGCTAGTCTCAAATACAGTAGACCCACTGAATCCACTACAGAATGGCAAGTCAACACTTATGTATCTGTCATTGCATCTACTCTCCTCTATGTTAGAAAAAGAATGGTGTCTAGGTGGCCAACCACATTAACAAAAAAGGTGGGAAATGCTACAGGTTTGAAGCAGTCTGATTCACATTTTTTTCATTGCTTGCACAATGCAATGGGAAATGCAAATCAGTTAGAGTCCCACACCTCCAATCTGTTGCTTTTCCTCCCCACAACAGACCCACTTTAAAAAAAATCAAATCATTTCTCCAACATTCTTCTTTATTTTTTTTAAAGCTTCTCCTCCTGGATAACACTCTAGTTTATTTTATTATTTTAACATCCCAGTCGTAAGCTGACAACAAAACAGGAAAAAGTCTGTCCCGTTGCTTATTTGTGAAGTTCTTGAGAAGCGCCACCTGCAGAGCTGTAAGAAGAGCTGCAAGCAGCTTAACTTAAGTGCAGTCATTTAAACTGAACAGACTCAAATTCCCTGGCGTGACTTCACAGCGAGTGAATGCAAGTGAATCTGCATTTCCCTCGCTATGTGGCTGCACCCTAACTGTGACCCACAACTACCATAACTGAAGAGTACTTGCCTTCTTGGCATCTGCACCCTAACTGTGATCCACAACTACCGTAACTGAAGAGTACTTGCCTTCTTGGCATCTTGATCCTGCCCAGCCTGAAGCACAAAGACACTTCACTACTCCACTGACTGAGATGCATTCCCCACCATTCTGACATCCTCCTTCACAGCTGACTGGAAGGAAAAAGACAAAGATTACCAAGAGCAACACTTCAGCAAAATGTTGAATCCCAAATACTTTGCCTCTTCCAGGCTCTGCATGGTTAGGACGGATATAAAGCTTTTATGCAATAACATACTCTCTATTATGTATGAAAAAGATTTTGACCTCAACATTCTGCTATACCGGTAAGAAAATATACACACACATACACACACACACATGGCAAGAAAATATACACACACATACAGAGAGAGAGAGAGAGAGAGAGAGAGAGAGATTGAGAGAGAGAGAGATTCAGTGCTCTGCAAGGTTTGGGAGGCAAACAGATATTGGTGGAGGATGGAACAAGGTCTCTACCCTACGAACTTGGGTAGCAGGTCCATATGACAGAAAATGATCCTTTAGTTTCCTGACCCTTACCAATGTATAGCTCATTATTTTATGATCTGAACTGGGCCCAGAAACAAACTAGTAACAGATGACAGAACAAAGGAGACACATATGTCTCTTGTCAAGATTCTTGCCAATTCATATGCTTCTTGTAAACAGCATTTGCAACTGTTAGTATTTTTTATTTGTTTAATGTTTGATCATTCGCACGAAGCAGCACTTGGTAAAGTAAAGCTAATGTAGAGATTGGAATTAGCATGTGCCTCAATGGTACTGCCTATATATTTTAAGCGTGGGGTGGGTGGTAAAATTTCTTTTGAGGACATTTATTTTGCAAAATAATGTAATGACTGGTAAAATCATTCCTGTTCCAATATAATAAGTTAACTGTCTACATCTAAAACACCACTTCAGTAGTGATTTTGAAGGTGATTGATTGATTGATTGATTGCAATGTTTCTATTTCCAAAGTATAGCTTTTAAAAAAAAACTAAATATCCCAGCAACTATGACTTTTAGAGCAAAACATGATGGCCAATTTACTTGAATTCATGATAGGCAAGTGTTACATGGCATAACTGTTGAGAGTGAATGCTCTTAACAATGTTGACAAACTCCCTCCAACTGTAACTACCTTTTTTATGTTGTGCATTGGTGTAATTTAGACTACATTTTGCCCTTCACAGATTTGCAAACTGCCAAGATTAACTCACCTTTATGACAGTATCTTCCTCCATAGCCAGGCTGACATCTGCATTTTCCTGGTCTGAGACACCTCCCTCCATTTTTACATTTTGGATAACACGTTGCTATCAAAAAAAGAGAGACACAGAAAAAGAAAAGAAACTAGGATGAAACAGTCCTGTTGGAGGGAAACAGATAACTCTAAAGGTTTCTGCTGCTTTGGAAAGCCTACCAATGAATATGTAAGTACACAGTAGATTGAGTAGCAATTCATATGAATTATGGTGTACACTCAATAGTGGCAAATATAATCAGCCAGTTCGGTTTGTAAAATGGCTAGAATAAAGATAGAATTTTCTTATCACATGAACACAGGGCCATGGAGTCACAGAAGACACACTTACCGAGGAATAAAATTACCAGAACCGTTTGTATTCATTACCAGCAATTATGACTCTGAAATTTTTAAAAAATGTGAGATAAGATTTTAAAAGATGTATGAAGGGAATCAGAATTAGCAAAAGGAGGTCACTGAGCCAAATCCAGCATTTGATGGTTAAGGCTTGGTATTTCAGTAGCCGATCCAGACATAAAAGGCTACTTTAGAAGGAATGGCACCTACCTGGTGTAAGGTAGTAGGCACCATGAAAAAAAGATAAACGCTAAATCCATAAAGGCCATACAGCCTTTCTAAAGGAACTGGGTCTCTTTCAGAGCTCCAGACTGCTTGATTATTAAAAAAAAAATGGGGAGCAGGAACTGACAGAAGCCATTAATTCACATCTAACCTCCATTATGGGATCCTGGGATGCTTTTTTGATTTATGGCTGGAAGCCATGTGGAACTCCACTCTTCAACTAATACCATTTGTACACTTAAAACTGATTATATCCTCAAACTCCACTTTTCTCTCATTTTTTCCTACACCAGCAAACTCCCAGAGATAAATCATCCTCCACCTCCTTTGCGTTTGCTTCACAAATGGCTTTCGTATACCAAACAGAATTTTCATCCATGTTAAAGACGGGCTTACGGTGAAAACTTGCTGAGAAGACAAGTCTTCCTCGTGCATTCGGAGGGAGTCTGTGTGACTGACAGCTAAAAGAAGGGTCTGCAACACAAGGAAATAAATAGCTGGAAAATGGAGCGTCCTAAAGGACGGGTGCTGTGATGATTTCATGCAAACAAATTATCTGACAGCTTTAGCAGGCTCTTCACGCATGAATCATTCATGAGCCCATTCGGGTATCCATATATTTGCTATCTGCACACAATTTTCAGTAAGACTGTTGCCGTTTATTTTCCCCTTTGGACTCCATTACAGACTCCACTGAGATTTAGTCGACCACTACGACTTTACTTGCAGCGTTCTATAAAGTGTAGCCATGTTTTTTGCTTTATAAAAGTAAAAAATGTTTGAAATGGCAAACAAATAAATGCATAAATAAAAATAAAAAACTGACCAGTGACCAACTGACCCACACACATTTCAAATACTTGTGGCTGATCACCCAAGAACAATCCTTTCTTAATTGAATAAACATTCACCTTAATTGAATCAATGTTCATGAATTACAAAAAATTAAACATGCAAATAAAGTTGCATTCCACAAAGATTTAAGCTGACTATAACAAATAATGACCATAAATGGGAGGGAACAACCGCTTTCTTTTTGCCACCCCCTTTCAATTTGTTTTTCACTTGAGATGTTGTGCCACATTTACCAGTTAAAATCTTGCATCATCTCTCTCTCTCTCTCTCTCTCTCTATCTATCTATCTATCTATCTATCTATATATCCGTTCTCTCTTGCACTTCCAAAATGATTTTTAAGAGCAAACCCATTCACGTTCTTAAGACACCAGTCCTCAGAACTGTCCAAAAATTCCCCAGGGGCAGAATTCTGGAAGTTTCAGCCCACAAACACCGATCTACAGGTTGCTGAATTTTGCCCTTCCCCCAGAAAAGGCTAACTCTGACAAAGCATCCACTTCTCTAGCTTTTATTTCAAGTTGCAATTTTTTTAAAAAAAAAATCTGTAGTCTTTCCTGGGAGCAGGAGTTCTTGGGAAATTGCCCTCTACCACGCCTAATGGGCATAAATACTATAACTCCCAGGACCCTCTGCACTCAGGTTAACTCTCCCTGCCATCATGTGAATAATAATAGCGGAGGACTACGTCCTCTTGCATGAGGAGGATGCTGGAAGTCACATTCTCACTGTCCTTTAAGGTCTACAGAAGATGCCTCCTGAAGAATTAAAACTCCCAGGAGCACCCGAGCAACTTTTAAAAATAAAAATTAATGATGGGAACCAAAGGCCAGAAAAAACAGTGTCAGAATATAAGCCAGTGATCCCCAACCTTGGACGTCCAGATGTTCTTGCAATGGGAACCAAAGGTCAGAAAAACAGTGTCAGAATATAAGCCAATGATCCCCAACCTTGGACATCCAGATGTTCTTGGACTTCAACTCCTAGAAATCATGGCCAGCAGAGCTGGTGGTGAAGGCTTCTGGGAGTTGTAGTCCAAGAAGATCTGGAGGCCCAAGGTTGGGGACCATTGGTATAAGCCCTTCGTGGGGGTAGGGGGCAAAATCCAGCGCTCTGCTGATTTGTGTTTGTGGGCTGAAACTCCTTAAATTCTATCTGGGGAATTCCTGGAAGAGTTCTATGGGTCCATTAACACAAAAGAGCATGTTCCTAATTATTCTTTCCCCACTCACAAGTGTCTCATTCTGATATTAATTGTCGGTAACTTAATTTTACATTAATATCTTTTATTCCATAATGACTGTCTTTTGCTTATGTTTCTGACTTATCCCACCCCAATCCTTATGCTTTTATGAATCCCTGATAGTTTGGTCTAATGGTCAGTCTTACCAGCTCACCATACTCAGCAGCAAAATATTTGTCATCTAATTTATTGATCAAAATCCACTAGGCATACATTTATACCAGTGGAAGTTGATGATGGCATCAGCTGGTGCCGGTACAATGTAGATTAATCAAATGCTTCCTAGGCTCTTGTTTTAGGCTCCAAGGCTCCTTAAGGCTTCTTTTTTTCCCCTGGGGAAGCCTTTGGGAAAGGGAAAGGAAACCTTTAATTGCCAACCATAATTGCTGGATTGCCAGAGGTGATCCAGTGGTGAGTTTTGTTGATTAAATGCTTCCTTTCCCTGAGAATACCAAAGGCTTCGCCAGAGCAAAAAAGAAATCCTAGGGAGCATCTGAACCTAAAACAGGGGATAGAAAACTTTCAATTAATGTACATTAAACTTAACCACAGCCAGCGGGTGACATCATTGGATTCCACTGGTGTGAATCGATGCAAAAGGATTTTATCCACTGTTATTTAATTTTTACTGACAGATGGTAGAGGAACTCTTGTAGGATTTTCTGCCTCCAGATAACACCTCAGGCAGCAAAATGTCTTGGTGTAGCTCTCTAGAGGTCCAGGGGTCATTTGAGTGGAAAGTTTACTCTAATCTCTTTTCATTAAAAATACAGGACTTCTCTTTTTTTAAACAGCAAGTCCTTCTGACATACTTTGAGCCTCTTGTTCATTACTCTTTCTCCCCTCCTAGTACTGAGTGCATCTGGATCCTAAGCACCCGTTTCAACAATAGACCATGCATAATATAAATATTATTCTCCAAAATGGTATTCCTAATTCAATTATGCAGTCACTGATTCTCATATTTGACCCCCTCTTGTGATAATCCCTGTAAGTACATTTCTGTCCTGGACTCAATGATTAACTGGTGTAATTTCCTTTTATTATGCTTTCTGCAGCAGCGTTCCAGTCAAATTGGACACATGCTACATTGAAAAAGGCAATAAAAGTTGTGCATTTTAAAACAGGTTTTCAGGACGGCTTTACACTGCAGAGTTTTTTTTTAAAGTTCACATTCTTAGTGGTGTTTATAGCCTGGTTTTGCTGGCTTTAAAACAAAATTACTGATTCTCTCACTGTTTATGTTTATTCAGTGAGTTGAGTTTTATCACTTTAATGTTTAAACCACCCTAGCTTTAATCATGAAATGATGGAGTAGAAATAGAAAACAAAATGACACAAACATGGGCATTAGGGCATTTCAGGCAAACTGGACCAATATATCCTCAATCCCAGCCAGCCTGGCCAAAACTGAGGGATAATGGTTGTTGTAGTTCAGCAATATCTGAAAGGCCAGTTTCTATGCTTTGCCCTTTACAACTCATATCAGGTTACTTGCAATTTGGTCTGTCCCCATGAGAACATAAGAAGAGCCGTGCTGGATCAGGCCAAAGGCCCCTCTAGTCCAGCTTCTGTATTTCACAGATGCCTCTGGGAGCACAGGCGACAGCTAGATACCTGTCTCCTGATACCCCTCTCCTGCATCTGGTATTTTGAGGTACCTTCCTTTTAAACCTAGAGATTATACATCCCCATCATGGCTTGTAACCTGCAATGGACTCTTCCTCCAGGAATCTGTCCAATTCTCTTTTAAAGACATCTAGGCCAGATGCCATCACCACATCCTGTGGCAAGGAGTTCCACAGACTAACAACATGCTGGGTCAAGAAATATTTTCTTTTGTCTGCTCTCACTCTCTCAAATTGAGTGTTGGGAGAGGGAGAACAGACAAAAGAAAACATTTCCTTACCCCCCAACACCCCTATGTCAAAGGAGTACAGCCAACATTACCCTGAAAGACAGCAAAAAGCTGTAGGGTTGGCATTTCTTCCTTCTTTATCTAGACCCAGAAACATTCTTGCTGTCAGTGTAACAAGTGAGGAGGAACCTGCTGCTAGCCCAGCGACAGCTTGATCTTGATGAGAACATAAAAGGATCTTTTCTGGAGGCGAAGAAGCTTTTTGTTCTCAAGACTATAACGGGACAGACACCTGGGTGGAAATAATCACGGCAACGAAGGAGGCTGACACATTCCAGAAGGGCTCATTGACACATGGCAAACAGAAAGCAGGAGTTTAGGGAAGAAACCCTATTAAAAAGTTTTTTTAAAAAAAAAACAGCATGAATCTACCTATGTCTTCAATGGAGTCTTTACTCCTTAAAGGGTTTAGGATTACAACCGTCCAGATGCGTCTGACAAACAATCGCGGGGACATGGGAGCAATATCGGAGGGGGGGGGATCTCTTAGCAAAGGCCGGCCAGGGAAGCTGCAAACCTGAGGGCACATGAGCTTCTTTCCACCCGGTGCAGGTAGGAAGGATCCTTGGTAAACCCAACACAAGATTGCTGGGCGGCCTGGAAGTGCGTGCCGGAAGCGCTTCCAGATTTTCTGTTGTTGTTTCTTCTTCACACGCTATTTTTTAAAATTTCAGCCCTGCCCCAGGAGAGGCTAGTTTGGTCTCCGAAAGGGCTGAAGCCGACGCAAAGAGCAGCGGGTGGCCTTAATAAACCCTTCTCTGCATCCTGCACCAGGAAGCATGCCCCCGTGCCATTCCCTCCCAGAGCTTGAAAAATGTTACTTTTCTACAAACTTTCCAGGCTCCGTCAGCTGAGATAGATGCCCAGCTGGAGCGAGCCTTTCTGGAGATGCTGCAGTCCGAAACGAACAAGCGAAGGGCAACCGTCTCCACGTTCCTTCCCCTCCCCCCTCACGCGCTTCTTCTTTTTTTTTTAATACCAACCATACTGGCAGCGCTCGCCCTCGTAGCCCTTGGGGCAGAAGCAGGTGCTGTTCCGGATGCAGAGGCCCCCGTGCTGGCAGGGCGGCCGGCAGACGGCGCGCGGGTCGAAGATGAAAGGGACGGCCACGCCGCGCGACACCTTGGAGGGCTGCGCGCGCGCCACCGGCGGCCCTCCCGCCGCGAAGGCCAGGAGCAGGAACAGCCACGCGCGCCACCAGCACCTCATCGCCCCCCGGCCTGGCCCTGGCGCCGCCCGAAGTACCGTTTTCCCCTCAGCTCTCCCGCTTCGGCGTCGGCGGCCTCCGAAGCCCCTCAGTGCTTCACCGCTTCCTCCTGCGCTCCCACACTCCCCTCTTTCGTTTCCCCTTCTCTCTTTTCCCTCCTCTCCCCCTCTTTTCCCCTCCTCTTTACTCTTGTAAGGACTTTTTTTTTTAAAAAAAGGTTTCCTCCCTTCTTTCTTTAAATCTGTGTATGGGTATATATAGAGGCACACATACACACAGCATTTGCATTGCATACAGTACATTCTGTTTTTCATGTTATTTCCTCATGCGCCTGGTTTCAACAAAAACAAAAGTTCCTGAACATGATTACTTTGTATTTTAAAGCAAATTTCAGGTGGCTGGAGAGATAAATCCAAATTATTGCCACCACCAGGCATTATTACATTTATATCCTGCCCTTTCTAAAACACACTCAAGGCAGACGACATGGGGCCCACCTTGTCTTGATACAGTTTAGGCGGCAGAGGATTACGGTAATCATCCACATTTTCAAGAAAAGCCTGGACGACTCCTTTCTAAAACCTCTGGAAAGCTAAGAGGGCCCTCCTGGCTCAGAATCAGGCAACTGCCTGGGTTCCTATGTGATTTTTACAGTTGTAATGAGATTTTAAATTTGGTTCAAGTGAAAGTCACATTTTATGATGTCATGTATTTTTTAACTGATGGACATAATCACAGACTGAAGCCTGAATTCAGTTGGCAGTTCCAGTTAAAATACACTTATACAGAAAATTGTTATGGATTCTAAATTATGGCCTCTTGTATCTCTAAAGTGTATAAACATCACATGTAAGGTGCTGTCAAGTTGTCTCCGACTTACAGCGATGCTACGAATGAGCGATCTATCATGTCCTCAGTTGCCCTTCTAAACTCAAGCCTGTAGATCCTTTAGGGATTCAGTCCCTCTCTTATTTGCTCTCCCTCTTTTCGTGCTTTTTCTACCTTTCCCAGAGTTACAGTGGGGTCTTGACTTAAGAACGGCTTGAGTTAAGAACATTTTGACTTAAGAACCGCTCTCATAGAAAAATATTGACTTGACTTAAGTACTTAGATTTGAGTTAAGAACTAAAAAAAAACACGTGGGAGGCAGGGAAAGTGCAAAATGTGAACTTTCAGTTAACTGTTGGCCAGTGAAAAGGGTGCCTGTCTGCTTCCTCACTCTTCCCAGCGTTTAGAGAGTGGATTGGGAGACAGTCTTCAGACTGCCTGGTACTGCCTGGACTGTCTTTTCCCTGCCTTCCCTGAACCTTTCTTGACCTAAGAAAAAAAGAAACAAAATATCCCCCTCTAGTGGTCGAAGGCAGAATAGCAGCTTCCCATTAGTTTCTATGGACGGAAAAGAGTAGATACGGATCAAATGGTTTTCAATGCATTCCTATGGGAAATGCAGATTTGACCTGAGAACTTTTTGACTTGAGAACCGCCTTCCAATACGGATTAAGTTCTCAAGTCAAGACCCCACTGTATTGTCTTTTCCAGAGAATCCTGCCTTCTCATGATGTGCCCAAATTAGGACAACCTTAGTTTCAATGTTTTTGCCTCCAGGGATAGTTTAGGCTGGATTTGATCTGGGACCCACTCATTTGTCTTTTTGGCAGTCCACAAACCTCTTCTCCAGCACCATATTTCAAATGAATCAATTTTTTTTCCTATCAGCTTTTTCAACTGCCAGACTTTCAACCCCCAACATGGTTATCAGAAATACAGATGTGAATGATCTTGGTATTGATCTCCATTGATACACACTTGCACTTGATTATCTTTTCTAATTTCTTCAAATTGTATGTTGTAACTATTTTCAAATACGTCATGCCATCTAAGCTATTAACATATTGATTATTCCTACCTTCTTCCTCCTTGAACCTCATGCTCCCTCCTTTCTTCCTTGCTTTCTTCTCCTGTTCTGTCTTATTTGAGACATAATTTTCTCAATGTCATCATCCCCAAAAGTCTGGGCATAGCCCTTCATGCCAGCTGTGGAAGACAATTCAAAATCCACCAGGGTGAGCCTGGGCATGTCTACACGGCCTGAAAGGAAACGGCTGAATTGGGCTAAGCAGGGCCCCCAGGAGAGTTAATATGCCATTTGGTGCATCCAGATGGCATATGGATCTCAAGCAACCCTATTTAGTCTGCAGCCTTTACTGATTTTGTGAAGTGATTTAATAAGACAGCCACTTTTAGGATATTAACAAGTTAATCACTTTCTCAGTTCTATGGAGGGGTTGATGAAATGGGGAAAAATTAGGTGTATATTAGGGCATTGAATACACACACACACACACACACACATTTGTAATATTTATAGGCTGCTTTTCTCACAATCAGGATTCAAGGTGGCTCAAGGTATTAAAAAGAACAGAATTAAAAACATGATTAAGCATTAAAAATTAAACTATAAAACTGATTAAAATACATGAATACATGATTAAAAACACTCAACATGTTTAAAATTTTTTTAAAAATCACATTTATGAACTTACTCATGATTGTTAAATCATACCTGAAAATATGTGTTTTATGACATTTCTGTATATAAACAGAAGAGTGCTGAATTACTTAAAGATTTATATAATCCCATTCCCATGGAGACTTCAATCCTTCCTCCGGGGATTCCTTGGCCCAGGACATCCCAGACAACACTTCCTGAGCATCCCCGACAGGCTCCTTTGTCTAAACCCTTGTCCTCTCCCTAGGAACCTTAGGCTCCCTCTCCCTAGATTTCTCAGTTTGGCAGCCAGCCACCTGTCATGCTGGCTCTTTCAATCACTGGCATAATCAGGGATAAACCACCTCCCTTCTCTCTTCCTCGCGGTTGTGCCCAATCTCCAGGGCTGCTGTTACCACCAAGGCCTCTGTTTGAGTCCCCCTCTCTTGAAAGAGGCTTGACTTGGTTTCTGCCTTTCTCCCCTTCAGATTTCCAGCCCCTCAGTGGGCTTTTGTGCTGGCTGGGCAGTAGGTTTGGGCCCTGGGCCTGAATGCAGTGGCTCACCCATGGGGGCATCTGTGCTTCTGTACTCTTCGCAGTCATGCACAGAACATAGATTTCAATATGAGGAGGATGGAGTGTGGATGGTATTACCTGGCATGCTAGGAAAGGACATCCAGGGGTCCAGGTTAATTAGCATACTCTTTATTCCCTTATTTTTATCTGCATTTTCTTTGAGGGTCTTAAACGGATTAATATGAAAGAAAGAGAATAGCTTCCTGTGAAATACTGTAACCGCCCCTTTCAACAGAAGTAATTAGATGCAAGGGTGAATTAAATAAACTTGTCCAGCTGTCTCATTGAACTAAATGCATTTGTTTAAACATTATCTCCAATATTACGGATTAGGTTTAGTCACTCTCTTTGTGCACCTAAATTCATCAAAAGGTTTATCAGTCTGGTAATCTGCATTTTTAAAGAGCATGATTCATGCAGCTTGTGTCTCATTTAACACAGAAATATTTGCAGTTACAATAGGCACTTTTGTCTCTATTTCTCAAATCATATTACCACAATAATTTGTGCTAAAATTTAGTAAGTATCTAAAGAATCCCTAAAATTCCACCTTCTCATATAAGTAGGAATAAACGTTGTGGAGTTCGTACTTGACTATATGTATAAGAAGACAAAAAGTCACAATATACTGTATCAGACCAAAAACTTATCTTGCCCAATTATCTGTTCATACAGTGTCTGGCCAGCTGGAGAGAACTACAAACAGGATATAAACCAATAGCTCTTTCAGCTACTGTTTTCCAGTAATCAGTGCTGAGATTATCTGATATTAGACAAAATCCTGTTCATGCAGGTGTAAAGTAAAGCTACACCTATGTCAGTATGTTGGGTGTCATGCCCTGCAACAAGGAATTCTGCAATTTGATTGTGTGGTTGGTTTTGGGAGCCCAGCATGACCCACTGCACAGTGAAGTACTTTGTGGATGGACTTCCATCTTGACTTTACATGACCCACTGCACAGTGAAGTGCTTTGTGGATGGACTTCCATCTTGACTTTATCATACCTACCATGGACGTAACATCAAGGTGTGATTGCCTAGTTATACAACAGGATTTTGCCCATTGAAAGTAGCATACCTCGATGACAATGGTTACTTTCCTTGAATATACTTTGTGCTTTAAAACCATCCAGCAGAGGCTGTCACTACAATTTGTGGGGGGAAATGTTGTAGTTCTCTGATGGGATGAGTTGTAATCCAAGATCTGGACGGCCCACAGCTGCCCCTCTATGCTATGAAACATAAATATTCATGCTTCCTGACCTTCTAAAGATGTGTTCAGTCCATTTGATAGAAATAGAAAATGGGCTGCACAGAGAATTGCATGAATTTCTAGTTCTGTAAAGAGATTTTTTTTTATGTGCAGACCTTGATAGCTCTCACTTTCCAATTGCATAGTATAATATCAGACCTATCTGAACGGCTAGCAGCTTACTCTGATCATAAGACTATCTGTGATTAATCATCCTAAATCAATGAAAAATGACACTGTAGATTAGCATCATTGTTCAAGCAATTTTTCCCCAGCTGTATCTCCACTCCCAAATACATCATAGGCTTCTAGTGACAGTTGAGGGCAGCAACAGTGTTTAATTCAGTCAAGATAACTGATCTGTGTTTCAATCCATCTGAACAGTGTAGTTTGAAATATACTGGAGATACTGTATGGTGGTATAATTTTGTCAGAACACTAAACAAGATAATAGGCCAATGCGCACAAATAGCACAGTTCAGATTTCCTGCTTTAAAAAAGCACATTCATCTGCTGTACTGTACACAAGAGTTCTCTGTCTTATATCTTATCTTATAATTTTAGAACTGTCTTTTTTAGAATTTTAGACCTGTGGATCATTGAGTTCAGTCCCTATCAAGGAGCCACAATGTGAATTGAACTCCCAACCTCTGACCAGAAGCCTAAACCACTGAACTACCCAGCAGTCTTTGCATGTTCATAGTTAATTTATACAAACCATGGCTGTGTCACCTATTTTGCTACCTCCTTTCAGGTGAGGTGGGCACAGGGCAGCCCTGTATGGCAGTGGTCCCCAAC